ACAGTCACTCGCTGTTATGAATTTAAGGTTTTTACCTTAATTTTATCAAAAATTGCTTGCCGAACCCAAATATAAACACATACATTTTCTTCGCTCTTTCCTCAGGAGGGAGTGGGAAATTGGGAAATTTTCGGAAAAGCGGTCAATTTCGGTAAGGACGAAATCCGCCATTTTTTGGCGTCATCAGATATCTAAGGCCGCGCTTGAGATAGCCGCTCCAGTTATTATAGAACTCAATGGTTATAGCATTCCCCCATTTTCTGGCATATACAACCATTGAGTTCTATAATAACTGGAGCGGCTATCAACTTAGATATCTGATGACGCCAAAAATGGCGGATTTCGTCCTGCCGCTGAGATTTACCGAAATTGACTGCTTTTGACCTCCTGAGGAAGGGTGAGGAAAATGTATGTGTATTTGTGATTCGGCAAGCAATTTTGTTGAAAATCAAGGTGAAAACCTTAAATTCATAACAGCGAGTCAACTGTGGCTGTCAGTTATCTGCTCCTACGAAGATGCATTTATAACTATCGACGAAAGACCTATATGTCGGGTACACATGTATGAATGCAGATGTGCGTCGTTTTCTTACCAGCGTCAAACTTGTTTGATCGATTAAACTCTTTAGTCTATACAAAAAAGTATATCATAGTTCATCTCCACGGTTCACGAGAGAGAAGTTAGCTTATTTGTTATGATTGCTATTTTGCTTCTTTTCATGCAAATTGTAGGATTTTTACTTGTTTCTTTAAAAAAGTACATATTAAATCTCTGGATATTTACGGATTTTCTGTAATTGAGTTTCATATGAAATTTCAAAAAGACTCAAGTCTGCATAGGTTTGGTATATGAAAACAAACAATATTGTATAGAAATTATTTTAAGTAACCTTTTTGTGATGTTTTGAAGTGCAACTGCATAGTTTTGGTAAATGAAAACAAACAATATTGTATAGAAATTACTTTAAGTAACCTTTTTGTGATGTTCTGAAGTGCAACTGCATCAAATACTTGTACTACATCTAATACTTGTAAAGTTGTAGCACATTTTGATTTTGTTGTATTGATATATGATTGTAAATGATGATCGTCCAGGTTAATAAAGTCCTGAGAAGGACTGTTTTTGATGTTGTTGACTGACGTTTCGACAACCTTAGCGGTAGTCATCTTCAGAGTCAAATGAGGAGTAAACGTCAGGTTAGCCGTATTCGTTGTCTGGTTCTTACGTCATTGTATTGTGTGTACAGGAAATGTGCAGGAAATGTGTATTGTCAATGTGGATTAGTGTGAAGTGAAATATTTTATTTTTAGTTGTGATGTGTGATTTAGGTGTGACGTTTTAGTTGTAGTGTGTGGGTGTCAATTGTGTATTGTCATTGTGAATTAGTTTGAAGTGTAATGTTTTAGTTGATCGTTTGTTTGTATTGTGAATAAGTCGTTTGTAAGGTGCCGGTAATTGCTGTGATCTGTTCAGGGGGGTTTGTTCCAAGTTGGTATACCAACTTTCTAATGTAAGCCGTTGTCTATAGTCAGTACTGTAAGTGATGCATTTTGCCGAGTCCCAGTCAATGTTGTGCTTTGTGATTCGGTGATGTTCGGCAATGTGATTAGTTTTGTCTTGTTTCTTAGTAGCTCGTTTCTGCTCAGTAAGTCTTATGTTTAAGTTCCTGCCAGTTTCCCCGATATAGGAGGCGTGGCAGTCGGAGCAGTTTATTTTGTAAACTGCACCTTGTCGTTCGTTGGGTTGTTCTTTGTCCTTTATGTTCGTTAGTACTTGTCGTAACGTTGTGATTGGTTTATGTGCGACACGTATGTTGTATGGTCGTAAGATAAGCGAGATAGTCTCAGACGTACCTTTGATGTAAGGTATCGTTGCTGTTGTCACTGAGTTGTTCGTTTCGTTGGGTTCGTTGGGTTTGTAAGTGTTGCGTTTGATAAAGTCAGAGTTATAGTTGTTTTGTCAAAACATGTTTGAGATAGTTGTTTTCGTTTTGTAGAGCGTCCGGTGAATCACATATGATTTGTGCACGTCTTGTTAATGTTCTGACTGTGTGGCTTTGTGTGATATAGGGTTGTAAGATGATTGTTCTGGTAGTCGGTCAGTATGTGTTGGCTTGCGATAAACTGTTGTTCGTAGTTTCTGATTGTCATTTTTACCAAACAGTCGAGAAAAGGAAGAGTATCGTTTGCTTCGACATCTTTGGTAAATTGTATCACACATCACAACTAAAAATAAAAATATTTCACTTCACACTAATTCACAATGACAATACACATTTCCTGTACACACAATACAATGACGTAAGAACCAGATAACAAATACAACTAACCTGACGTTAACTCCTCATTTGACTCTGAAGATGACTACCGCTAAGGTTGTCGAAACGTCAGTCAACAACAACAAAAACAGTCCTTCTCAGGACTATACCAACCTGGACGATCTACATTTACAAACATATATAACTATGAGAATATCAAGTGTACGCTGCTTGAAATTTTGCGCAAGTTATTTCAAAATAGGTGGCAGAAGTCTTTTGGAATACTTGAATTTCTTTTGAAATTCTTCACTAAATTAGAGAGCGAGGGAACTCTCTAGTTTAGTTAGAATATTGTAAAAATCTTTTATGTGCATGTTTTGTGTTTTGTGCATGTTTATGATCATCTGCAAACACCGAAGAATGGAAGTCGAAAATTTTGCCTTCTCGAAACATGCCTTCTTTAAATTTTAATATCTTCTCCAAAAATAAGTAATAAATATTGGTTTAACTTACTGCAAGAAGCGTTGCTTGACAATGACAGGTTACGGCAATGTGGTTCTGAAAGAAATTGAAGCAAAGAAGATTTGATGAACGATACAAACAAATACATGCTTACATCTCTGTTCTGCTATTCTTGATCTTATCGACCTCTGCATCTGAAAATACTGAGGAAAAAGTTGCAGTATGATGAAGCAAACAAGCAAACAACTGACAAACAAACACATACCGCAGTCTCAATCTTCATCGTTCAGTGCCATGAATAACTGTAAGAATAATGTTAAAATACAATCATGACGAACTGTAGGAGCATATAAATTTTCAAAAACCAGTGTTTGCAGACGATCTGTCGAAATTTCTATCAAAACTGGTACTTTACGATGATTTCCAGAAAACAGCTGTAAACTGCAAACATTTACAGGAAAGGTTTACTTTTATGGCACAAAAGTTACTGTCAGATTTTTCAAACGAAGTCAATCATCTCCATTGAACATAATGGACAGACGAGCATTCATGACGAGCCCTCAAGTTGGATTCGAAAATTTGGAAACAGTTTCCTCTCCCGAGGAATTATCTTTATGATTGCAATAGTTCTATACAATCATACAAAATAGCTATTTTGGCTAAATCATTTACCAAACATTAGAACATCACCGGAAGTTAAATTTTTTATTGCTTTGTAGACACTGTTATAACATCCCTCAATATTATAACAGTGCAATCATAGGCACAAATAAACCATTAAATATTCAAAGTAGACGGCTAGTCTGACTGGCTCGTGATAATCATTTCGCATAGATGTTGAGTTTAAAGATTTTTGCAATACTCTGCCAGCGTATTGCAATTTCTCTTTTCAACCATGATGATTGATTTAATGTAAATTAGATTTTGTTTTAATTTTACACAAGATATGAGTGCAAGAAGCACTCTTATATTAACATGCTCTAAAGCATGTTAACTGATTTGTGCTAACATCTACAAAATTACTCCATGGTATATAGAAGCGCCAGTCAGTTGTTGCACAAGTACAACACATCTCTTTACTACCAAATCCCTCAGTTATTACCAAATCAAGCACGTGTCAGAACTAGGCAATAATCAAACATAAGCTAGCTCTCTGTTGGTCGGTCGAATTATTGATATGGACAATGAAGAAGGATGTTTTTGGGTCGAAGGATGATCTGTTTCTTCCGTTAGCAACATCTTGAAGTCAACTTTGTTGTCTAGAAATATAGAATACGAGAGAAATGAATTGATTTTTCAGTATCGGAAATCATCGCACCATGAACTTATTATGTTCGTTAATAAATCACTAATCACTTTGGTTACTTCTTAGTACTTTAACATGGCTCTCTGATCAAATAATTTAGTATGTTCAGCATCATAAATTATTGTGACACCCTGGCTCTTGCGTTCACTTCATTGCCATCTTTTCTTATTATCGTCAGTGATTCTTAACCGTGTACACTTTTAAATTATTTGTTTTAAAATTGAGTTTCTTAGCCTGTGGCTGTCATAGAAAAATGATTTTCTTCTTTTCAACTTCCAATGGCAAAGTTACACAACGAGAAGGTGCTTTTGGTGCTGTCTTTGGTCATACTAGTCTTACAGCACAAGCAAAAGTGATTATTAATTGTGAAACAAGACAGAATAAATGAAGGATTAGAATCAACATGAGCATAAACAAAACAATATTCAAAAGAATTTCCGTTTTCCTGGTCTTTTAGGTCTCATGAGAAAACAAAATTGAATGCATGGTACATACGAATAGAATAAGCATAAACGATAAAACTTTATTTCTTTTTCTCTTCAGAGTTTACACAGAAAGACATGGAAATCTTCTTTCGTTTTCTCTTGTTCTTTTGTGTTCTTCTTTCAGCTAATGCCTAACACATTTCCTTAAGCCTGTGTAATGGTGTAACTTCGGAGTGGGTGGGAGGAGCTTTAGGAATAAATTTGCCCATAAAAAGCGTGGTGTTATTTTTATGTTGTTTCCTAAGCTGAAAGAAGTATAAAATATTGAAAAGAAGAATATGATTTTGATGTTTTTCTGTAAACCCTCGAGAGAGTCATAAGCACGCTCGTTGCTTATGCTTGTGATTACGTAGACGTTAATGTTCCAACTTTTGCTTATTGTTTTCTTTAACACTTTATTGACACTTGACACAACATTCAAAAATAGATATATTCTATTCAAACAGTTCATGAAAAAAATTATTGCTTTGTTCAGACAGTTGAATTGGCTGGATTTGAACAGGACGTTCTATACGAGAAGGGATTACGTTGGTTTTATTCAGTTATTTTGGGGATGATTGACGTATTATCAGTGTACCGTATGTCAAAAAGCATCCTATGGTGATACAGGTGAGCCATCACCCCTCAGATTAAGCTCTAGGATATGTTTGCTACAATGACGGAATCGTTGTAACAAAGTCTTCTGTTCTTACTTCATATGCTTCATCTTGTTTTATACAGTTTTCCAAAATGACTCAACTGTAAATATTGTAAAACAAGCACGATTAAAAAGCGTGTATATAAATTTGTAAAAATTTAAGAATTGCCCAAGAATTTGTCCAAACAATTAATTTTTTGAGAAATATCCAGAAATTTCCTTCAAATAGGCCATTCTTTTCTGAGAAATTTCCTTAGAAATAAGACCACATTTGACCATCGTTATCATGTTAACTACTTCATGTAAAAGTTATATATCGTCTTCCAAGAAAACAACATAACAATTTTTTAATTTTTAAACCTCACAAGCATTCGTTCTCCGCAAGAATATTTCTCTCCACATATCTGTTGTAAAAGAGTGAAAGACAAATAATATTTTAAAGAACATATAAAGTTTTTTTTGAAAGCTGAAACAAGGTAATAAATATATATGTTATTGTTATGCCTGAGTCTGACTTTGAGTTTCATAGCGGGAAATTGAAACGATATTTATTTTTTATTTCTACGTAGCAAAGATATTTAAGTTTTTTTTCCTACACAGCCAATATTGTGAATAATCTTTTGTATAACATCTCTAACTAAAGCAATATCGTTAAAATGGATAAAGTTCAAGAACTTTCTGAAGCACTGCCTTTACCAAGTCAGCCATTCTTAAACGTCGAAGTAAATGAATGCAAAGAAAGGTTAGTTCATAATATGAACAAAGGACTGTATGCAGAAGGATATTGAATTGCATTTCATGTAATAATCTAGTTGAGTGAGTCTGTGTTAGTGAAACCATGCTACAGGTGAAACTAGGTAATGAACAAATCATGTTTTGTTTTGTAAAGAAACTTGAATAATTTTAATATGTTACTAGATTGACGTCACTGGTCATATGTTGTGCTTCAACAGACTCACTTCTTCAAATACCACTGTGCTGTCAAAACGTGAACAAAACCATTTATTCAATTTAATAATAAGCATTAACATCTTAATAGTATTTACCACTTTATTTTAGCACTATCCCAGAGTATAGAATTATAAAGCTTGTCAAAGACTTTCTTATCAACATGAAAACAATTCATGGCGACTCATGTTTCGTAGAATTTGTTGATCCTTTTTAATGGAACATGTCAAGAGCATAACTATTGTGTATGACACAGATAATTTTTCAACATATGGCAAGGTTATTGACCCTATGATCAGACAATATTTACTTTCGCATGTGTGAGAGTAGGTTGTTCACACCCCCCTGGTATGTCACACATCCCTTTTTGTTGAACCCCCACGGAAAAGAAAATGCAAGAACTCCTAGAGGATTGACTTAGTTTGATAATGAAGATTTACATGAAGTACATATTTCTGTCAAACCTTCATAATTCTTTTAACAGATAATTGATTTGAAAAAAGTTATGCTAAAGTATCATGTCTATCAACTTCATGATGGGGGGCATGGATATGAAGAACTTGAAGAACTCCATCTTTTTAAAATCACTCCCAAACAATGACATTTTCAAAGTATATATTAGTCACGTGTTTGAATCATATTTTAGAGGCGTGGATTTCAACATCATCTCGTGAAATAAAGTTACCTTATTACATGGTAAGTTAGTTTCCTTGGTAACCAGACGTGAGTCCTTGCGTCATCGTCCGTCACGTGTATCTTTTTACGAATCAAATTAGATTCTATTTTTGCGTGTGTTGACTTTGTAACAACTCTCATCTTAACGGAGTAAATCTCTTATCACTCATAACATTCAAGATTGAAAAATCACATATCAAAGTATTGATAAGAATAAGTTAGCTACAATCAGATAGAATGAAACGCGAGAGACGTGATGGTGTTTTAACGAGCCAACTATTAAATGACGTCAAGGCTACCATGTTTGTGTACCGCTGTGACGTCACTCGAAAACAAACAACGAAGCCAATCAAACACCAGCATTTACCACTCATAGTACATCATGTTTGTCTTCACGTGATCTACTGCAAATATCCAGAAGAATGAGTTGAGCTTTTCTTTAAAACTTTCACAGAGCCAACCGGTACTGGTGAAACATCCTTATGCAAGGCGCTTGCTCAAAATTATCCATACGACTTTCTAAAAGGTAAAAACACTACATTTTATTTTGATGTTACGTAAATCGCAATCCATTACTATCCATGTGTGTACTGCAACTAATATTGCCACGTAATTTTATTGTTATGTCGTGAATTATAAATACAAAGTATAATCCGAAAAAGGACATGTTGTAAACTCAACATCAAATTTAGAAAACAAGACGATTAAAATGTAAATATTACACTTTCAATTGTTTTGCTTTGTAACTTTTATTTAAGTTTACAAGATGTTCTTTTGGCATTATCTTTACTTTGTTTTTAATGAAATTGTCGTCTACCTAAGGATTATGAACTATAAATTAAAGTGTGTTTCTACTTTTGAATCCTTAGATTTAACTATGGCCAGCTTATTGAAATAAACATTCACAGTTTATTTTCCGAGGTAGGCATCATTTTGAATAGCTCAAAGCAACATCACCGAGTGCGAAAATCCTCTGGAACCAAAATTACATTGCCATAAATTTTCCGTGAAACCTTTGTCGTCACCCCCTGTCAATATAAAATGCACGGCTCACATCAAAATATCAGTTCAGAAAACTGACATTTATATACCTGGGATTGAGATGTCGTTGAAGTTAATAAATCTAGTTCCGTATCACAAAATGATCATATCCAATTAAAAATAGCATCTGTAATTTAAAATGTACATTGACATTATCTTTCCCTACAAACAGAGTGGAAAGTTAATGATGAAAATGTTTCAGAAAATTCAAGAGTTTATTGACGACAAATAAGCTTTAGTTTGCGTTCTTATCGACGAGGTAAACTTTGCTTAAACATTTCTTTCTTAATGCTCATGGTCAGATAGATGAGAAATCATTTACTATTTGTGTTTCTTGTTTCACAAAATACCCGAAGCACATGTACGCTTGTCGGTAATGTTTAAGGAAAATACCTTTGCTATCCATATCTTTTACTTCTGAAGGTTGAAAGTTTAACATCGGCAAGAAAATCTGCGTTGAACGGACAAGAACCTTCAGATGCCATTCGTGTTGTGAATGCATTTCTCACTCAAATTGACCATATAAAACTGTAAATGCAAAATATAAGCAGAATATGCATTTCGGCGAACATTGCGTTCTCATGGATTTTTTAGTGAACTAAGAGATTGTATTCGGTTATATGAACGGCGAGGCCAGCCGGCAGGGTTGTTGCGTTATGTATTATTTAATAAAATAGAGACTTTGTAGAAAATAGTTCTAAAGATAGCAAATACCATAGTAAATGGTAAAAGTAATATAATAAGTTGATAGTTCTTACAAGAACTGTTGTAAGTAAAGAGCACTAACCCAATAGTTCTAAATTAAACGACACGATGCATTTCGGCAGACTACTCCTCAGGTGTCAACGTCTGCTGAATGAAAATTTACAATCTACCGATATTTATAATGCCAAGACAACAGTCTTTATCAACTTATTATATTACATTTACCATTCACTATGGTATTTGCTATCTTTAGAACTATGTATTATTTCTTTCTCTACAATGTTGTCGCTTTTACAGGAGTAAAAGCACGAAAATATTTATATGACATGAACAAACTTGCTTGATGACAACTTTGCTCAGTCAAATACTTATTATCTATCAATTACGTATTTACAGAAGTCTTGATTTGAACTACATTTATGCGTTTATTTGCTAAACCTAGTCTTCCCCAATGTTGTTTTCTTCTTATTTCAGACATCCTAATGTAATTATATTGACAACATCGAACATAACTAGAGCCATAGACGTTGCGTTCGTGGACAGGTTGAAAAATATGTTTGTGACTCGAAAGTTTTTTAATTCACTTTCTCATCTAACTTCGCTATTTGTTCGCCCACAGAGCCGACATCAAACAGTATATTGGTCCGCCATCAGCCAAAGCTATTTACAAAATTTACCATTTGTTTGTATGTAACTTATGTCTTCTTGTGCACGTGATCAACGAAATGGCTGCCGGTCAATTATGTTTTCTGGCCAAAGGAACGCCGAAATGGCTTACCGCAACCTATCATCATATACAATATAAAACAACAATTTGCCTCGTGAAGTATATCCCTCTTCTCAGTACTTTGTACCTTTACGTCTACTGCTTTATTTCCATACCACAATATAGTCGTTTGTGCAAGTTATACAAACATGTTGCTTAAATAGAGAGGTGTGCAGCTATATAGAAATTGATTGCAAACGATTGCATTGTAGATAATTTTTAATAATCAAAATTAATGTTCACCGTTTCATCACAGACCAGTATCATATCACCAGCCACTCAAATTTTGGATTTAAGGTACAACTGAAAAATACACGAAATTTTATTTTGACGAAAATTGACGGTGTTTGTTAGAAATTTTTGTTCACTTCTATGTTGATGACATGGTTTTCTTTTCCGATGTACAACTTTTTCCCTATTTTCCATTGTAGCTTTGTCGACAACGATGTAACACACTGTAGTCTTGAATTAAAGAAGATAGCCGAGTAAGTGAAGTAGATGTTTGTAGATGTAGATCGTCGAGGTTAGTGGTGTCCTGCGAAGGACTGTTGATGTTGATGTTGACTGACTTCTTAACAACCTTAGCGGTAGTCATCTTTAGAGTCAGCATCAACAACAACAGTTCTTTTCAGGACTTTACTAACCTGGACGATCTACATCTACAAACATGTAACGATACTCCCATGTTCAAACCTTTCACTTTAAAGTAAAGTGATGTCACAGAGTAAAATAAACATTTCTTGTCTTAGTTTATGGTAAATATTATGTCACCCAGTCTTCATGTTTTCAAGTTAGTATTCTTCTCGTTTTACAAAGAAAACGAAACTACGCCGGGGATTTTCAGAAGTTGTCTGAACCTTGGCAGTATGTTCTAGTTTCTTTTATGAGAAGAATTCTTGTAAAGAAAAAAGACAAATTTTGAAAGGAAAAAACCCCGTTTTCGGTCCATGCTTCCCGATACCTTCTTAAGCGTAAGGCACTAAAACGCGGCATGTTAACGTTTCGGTAGCAGATTTCGGCCCCTCCACGCTATCCTACTTGGGAGATGCAATAGCAAGCTTCCGCCCATCAGACCCGAGATCACCTGCGATAGGCTTTGCTCGGGGTACGCAGGAGAGTGCGGTCGCCACCGAAGTGTGGACCCTAAGCCACTGCATACTATATCGCACCCAGCTTCCACTGCTAGTTGACATCTACTATATGAAGCTATAGATTTATATTTATATATACAAAATTTAGAGGCTTACGAAATTTGTGGTATTATTAAAGTCACAACTGCGCATGCCCAGATAATTTCTTTGATAATTTGCGATTAAGTGGGATAATTGCCACAGATGTAGTGCAAGTACATCTAGTTAGTCGTTGCCATGACTATAAACAATTAGTCGAGTGGGCTGGGAATGCTCGAGCGCATGCGCAGATGATTTCTCCATTAAATTGTTACTAAACATGCTATTTACTTCAAAATCGGGGCTAGTAGATGCAATTGGTCGTCGCCATGACCATGAACATTGGCAGCCAATCAATTTAACTGCGCATGCTCAGTTGATATCTTTAATAGTTTGTTAATAAGCAAGTTATATACTCCCTAATTGATGCTAGTAAATGTAGTTGGTCGTTTCCATGACTATCAACTCGGACAATTGGTCAAGTGGACTTTGCATGCTTGAGCGTGCTGCGCATGCCCAAGCGTACTGCGCATGCTCAGATGATCTTCTTATATTTTTGTGACCAAGCGATTAATTACTCAGTAAGTGATGAAAATAGGTCCAGCTTGTTGTTGCCATCACTATGAACATGAAAAATTTGTTAAATGACTAAATTTCTCATTATGATTGAAATTTATGATTTCCCAATATCGGACGAAGTGAACCACAGAAGGATTCAAGCTTGTTCTGTTTGTCATTGCCATGATTGTAAACTCGAACAGTTTGTTGAGTTGTTTGTGCATGTTCAGATGAGTTCTCAAATAATTTAGGACTGAGGTTTAAAATATACCGTCTTAATACTTGCAACATAAATAAAATTTAACTTTGTATTACATCTACATTTAAGGCGTAAAGATGTTTTTTTCTTTGTTATCGTAGTCAGTAGTTATCAAGTAATGGACCACTCTCAAATAATCACGAATATTGGTTGACTTTTGGTTAGGTTTCTTTGGGAGGCCCTTCTCCTTTGAACTTGCAAGGAGCAGTCAAGCGTCTCACTGTGATAAACCTACGAAGTATTCTTTCTCTCATTTTCTTGTTTAGAAAAGTTATCAACTAAGTGGTCGAACTCTTCGTAAACTACCATTCCTTGCACATGCGCTGTATTCGAAAGTAAGTAATACGAATTAAAGCCTTCACCCGTGTTCTTTGTTGTACATGCATGTACTTATATTGTCCCTCAAACCTACGTAATAGGCACAAACGATAACCTCAGAAGAGTTTTGAATAATCTTTCAATGATTGTTGACAAGCAGTTCAAAGAAAAAGAGAATCTTTGCTCAGTTGGTGAAGAAAAAAGCGTGCAAGCGTGATCTTTTTAACGATTGTATACTTTTTATACATTCATAGAAATCTTTTGGATATGCTTTGTTGAAGATTAAGATTTTTTTATTTCTCAATTTAAGTCAATTTGGTAAGATAGATCACAAAGTTTGCTAATTTATATTGGTACTTTGAGACTCCTTACATGACGTTTCCCCAACACACCCGAGGTCAAAGGCAGCAATGTGTATAGTTCGTTATTGAGGATAATGTGTAGATTATTTTAAATAGGGAAGGATATTTATACGATATAGTTAATTGCAACTGTTTAATTTCAACGTATGTTTACATTAAATTACATCCTTAAGCCAACTTTACTAATATTGATCGCTATTTTCATGTTATACATCTATAATCATCTTGTTAAAGATTTGAAGCTCTGCTACGATAATACAGGTTTGTACTGCTATCTCATCTTTGTTTGTTGCCTATCTGATAGCATGTCAACTCCGGGGACCAGATTTTTTATCGAGATTTATATGACATTAGAGATTGTCGTACGTCAGTCTAATATCTTGAGCATGAACGATATGTTGTTGAAAGATAAGTTTACATATACTCTAGCGTAGTGTCTTCATCAGGAGTGATCGAATGTTGAAACTTGAGTCGCAATATGCTCCAGTCTTATGATTTGTCAGGAGTGATCTTTTATTGAAAGTTTCGCTAATGTTATTTAACCATGTTATCTAAAACTTTATCCTCCATATGCATGTGAAACATGTTTTACAAATGCATGTGAAACTCGTCAACACTTTGTTACGGCATTCGTAATATCCGTGACAACGTTAAAATGTTTTTTATTTTCTCTACAACTTTATACCAGCATATTGCATGTCATATCAAGCTTTCCTTTGATTTGACGGGAAATGGTTTTTATTCACTCTTACATCTTCTGCCTTTATAATTAGTCGATCTGTATTTCTAAACTAATATTTACAAATGCCCCAAGAGAATCTTTTTATTTTATTGGCTCTCTTCTACAAATACAATACCATGTCCGACTATTTGATTGCACGAATTTTTTAATTTGATCACGTTTTTTTGACACGTGTGTTTACCATGGGAAAGATGGATTGCTTAAATGTACCTAGTTGTTTAGACTACTTGGATCCATAGTTATCCTGTAATGTATACTCTTGTGAAACACCAATGAGCATACGTAGTGTGTCTTCTATAACCTCTATTCTTGTTCTCCACTTCATCATCTATCCATATTTGTTCTTTTAGTTCTCAGCTCAACACAACCCTTGTCTGAAGTTCCTAAAACCTTGATCTACCCAAGAAAGATCTCTGGTGGTAACATGTTAGGTATGGCTAGTGGTTGGTCATCGTCATTGAGCCTTGTGACACCAGTTCAGTATACGTTAATTGTCCTGAAGACGTTGAGGAGGTTGCTAGTAAAGCGTCGCCTAAACCAGAAGTTAGTTTTCATGGTATGCTAACGGATTACGCAAACGTTGTTAGGAATAAGTTCACATAAAATGGTTATGGTCTCGTTCCATCGTATTCTGAGAAGGTTTCATGTTCATCCTGTATCTTTCACCAATGTTACAAATACTTAGTTTTTTTATGCTTTTTGAAATTGTCGTTTTATGACTATTATTTTAGAGCATAGACATTGAAAAATCTTGTGGTAGTACAGATATTTTCAACATTTTTTTGTTGAAAAATTCTCTAGTTTCAATTCTTCGAAATTTCTCATCTTAATTTTCACCTTTACTTTAGAATCCTTTCGATACGAGAAATCGTCGGGATTTGAGGTACTTTATACGATATATTGAATTTAAGTTTATAGCGTTAATAACTCCCATCTGTTCATCGTAACTTTGCTATAATTCTATGGATAAATTATGTTTTTATATATAACAGATTATTGATGATCCTACTTCACCTGAAGGTGTTCAGCAAGAACGACGTATGAAGTTACTGTCGTTAATTAATAATATAGCCATTGATAAAGGGTTGGATGGTCGAAATTATTAATGTCATGGTTGTTTCAGACCAATTGGAATGAGTATGATCAATGAATTCTCGACTTGTTATTTGCTAATAACTCAAATATATTTATTTTCAAATTTCTTAGCTTAATAAATGTTATCTTTGTAGAAACTATTATAACAAAGTACATAATCCCTTTTTTCCGTGAAGCCCATGGATGCGTTCGTTCATGATGAAAGAGTCATATTGTATAAGGAGGCTCTCGTTCATCACGTCAGAGTTATGAAAAATACGTTGTAAAAGTACTAAGTAAAAACATACAAACATGCTTAGTGTTTGTTTAAGTTATAGTTCAAAAGGCAGAAGTTGTTTGAACCTTTGAAGTATCCTTGGACGCTCTAGTTTTTTTTTATGTGAAGAGTTCTTGTAAAGAAAGATAAATTTTGAAAACCAAAGAATCCCGTTTTCGGTCCATGCCTCCCGATACCCGAGATAGTTGATCACTAGAGCGTCGCATGTTAACTAAGGGAACCACATAATCCTTGTTTGTTTTCCATGAAACATATGAATGGTTTGCAATCAAAGAAATCATCTGGGCATGCGCAGTAACGATGACAATCATCCCAACACTTTCGTACGCCTTTAAATTTTGGTATATATATATAAAGCTAAAACTTCATATAGTAGATGTCAACTAGCAGTGGAAGCTGGGTGCGATATAGTATGCAGTGGCTTAGGGGCCCTCACTTCGGTGGCGACCACTCTCCTGCGTACCCTGAGCAAAGCCTATCGCAGGTGATCTCAGGGTCTGATTTGCGGAAGCTTGCTATTGGCATTTCCCAAGTAGGATAGCGTGGAGGGGCCGAAATCTCCTACCGAAAAATGCGGCGTTCTAGTGCCTTGCGCTTAAGAAGGTATCAGGAAGCATGGACCGAAAACGGGGTTTTTTGCTTTCGAATTTTATCTTTTTGTTTTCTTCTCATAAAACAAACCAAGCAATGTTTCAATTAACTTCTTATGACCCTGTCTTTTTCTGACACTTATAATTAAAGACAACCTTAAACATGTTTTACAAGAATTTTATCGGTTTATATCTTTCTGATTTAACTCTCCCATTTACTGTTTCTCATGTATCACGAGCAACAAATTCATATGTTTCATGGAAACAAACAAGGATTATGTGGTTCCCTTAGTTAACATGCGACGCTCTAGTGATCAACTATCTCGGGGTATCGGGAGGCATGGACCGAAAACAGGATTCTTTGGTTTTCAAAATTTGTCTTTCTTTACGAGAACTCTTCACATAAAAAAAACTAGAGCGTCCAAGGATACTTCAAAGGTTCAAACAACTTCTGCCTTTTTGAACTATAACTTAAACAAACACTAAGCATGTTTATATGTTTTTTACTTAGTACTTTTTACAACGTATTTTTCTCATAACTCTCACGTGATGAACGAGAGCCTCCTTATGTAATATGACTCTTTCATCATGAACGAACGCATCCATGGGCTTCACGAAAAAAAGGAATTATGTACTTTGTTATAATAGTTTCTACAAAGATAACATTTATTATGCTAAGAAATTTGAAAATAAATATATTTGAGTTATTAGGAAATAACAAGTCGAGAATTCATTGATCATACTCATTCCAATTGGTGTGAAACAACCATGACTATAATAATTTCGACCATCCAACCCTTTATCAAGGGCTATATTATTAATTGACGACAGTAACTTCATACGTCGTTCTTGCTGAACACCTTCAGGTGAAGTAGGATCATCAATAATCTGTTATATATAAAAACATAATTTATCCATAGAATTATAGCAAAGTTACGATGGACAGATGAGAGTTATTAACGCTATAAAACTTAAATTCATTATATCGTATTAAGTACCTCAAATCCCGACGATTTCTCGTATCGAAAGGATTCTAAAGTAAAGGTGAAAATTAAGATGAGAAATTTCGAAGAATTGAAACTAGAGAATTTTTCAACAAAAATGTTGAAAATACCTGTACTACCACAAGATTTTCAATGTCTATGCTCTAAAATAATAGTCATAAAACGACAATTTCAAAAGCATAAAAAACTAAGTATTTGTAACATTGGTGAAAGATACAGGATGAACATGAAACCTTCTCAGAATACGATGGAACGAGACCATAACCATTTTATGTGAACTTATTCCTAACAACGTTTGCGTAATCCGTTAGCATACCATGAAAACTAACTTCTGGTTTAGGCGACGCTTTACTAGCAACCTCCTCAACGTCTTCAGGACAATTAACGTATACTGAACTGGTGTCACAAGGCTCAATGACGATGACGAACCACTAGCCATACCTAACATGTTACCACCAGAGATCTTTCTTGGGTAGATCAAGGTTTTAGGAACTTCAGACAAGGGTTGTGTTAAGCTGAGAACTAAAAAAGAACAAATATGGATAGATGATGAAGTGGAGAACAAGAATAGAGGTTATAGAAGACACACTACATATGCTCATTGGTGTTTCACAAGAGTATACATTACAGGATAACTATGGATTCAAGTAGTCTAAACAACTAGGTACATTTAAGCAATCCATCTTTCCCATGGTAAACACACGTGTCAGAAATACGTGATTAAATTAAAAAATTCGTGCAATCAAATAGTCGGACATGGTATTGTATTTGTAGAAGAGAGCCAATAAAATAAAAAGATTCTCTTGGGGCATTTGTAAATATTAGTTTAGACATACAGATCGACTAATTATAAAGGCAGAAGATGTAAGAGTGAATAAAAACCATTTCCCGTCAAATCAAAGGAAAGCTTGGATATGACATGCAATATGCAAGTATAAAGTTGTAGAGAAAAATAAAAAACATTTTTAAGGTTGTCACGGATATTTCGAGTGCCGTAACAAAGTGTTGACGACTTTCACATGCATTTGTCAAAACAAGCTTAAGTAGACAAAGAGCATGCCAAAAATATATGATGGAAAGCTTGCTCAGCGCATCTACAAGCACCAACTTCAGAGCTCGCTCTGTCACAAATTAATTGAGAATCTGAGCATGCGTTGTCAACTCCACAAACTCTCCAAGCTCATGGTAACGACCAACTGGATGTACTAGTACCGATTTTGGAGTAATTAGCTCGCTCAGTCACACGTTTTAAGACAAATCATCTGCGCATGCGCAGTCTCACTGAGCATGCGCAGTCAAATTGACCAGCTACCCGAGTTCATGGTCATGGCAACGACCAACTGCATCTACTAGCACCAATTTTGAAGTAAATAGCATGCTTAGTAACATTTAATAGAGAAATCGTCTGCGCATGCGCAGTCCACTCGAGTAATTGTTCATAGTCATGACAACGACCAACTATATGTACTTGCACTACATTTGTGTCATTTAACTCACTTAGTCGCAAATTATCAAAGAAATCATCTGGGCATGCGCAGTAACGATAACAATCATCCCACAACTTTC